CCTGTTCTCAGGAGCACCCAGTCTTCTTTCCAGGCCTCCCACCCCCACCCTGTTGGGCCTCTGTGGAGTCTAGTCATGACTTTGGACAGGTGGGCTGCAGCGCCTGGGGGAAGACCCCCGAGGGAAACGGCCCGAAGGCCAAGTGTCTGGCCAAGCCCGTGTCTGGGGTGTGCCCGTGTCACGAGACTCCAGACCTCACGGGGCCCGTCTCCTGCAGACAACTGCCGCATGCCCCCGAGCACCCCGTGGCGACCCTCAGCCCCTCGGAGCGCCGGGCCATCAACCTGACCTGGGCCAAGCCCTTTGACGGCAACAGCCCCCTGCTCCGCTACATCCTGGAGATGTCAGAGAACAGTAAGGGCAGCCCACCCTCCTGAACCGGGTCAGCCCAGGGTGGGGGGTGCGGGGGGCGGGGTCAGCCGGGAGGGGGGTGCTCCCGGCTCCCCCGCTGGGCCTGGGAAGCCTCTCCTGGTCCTGTCTCTGACGTGAGGGAGGCGTCTGCCGCCTGGGCTGTGGCCGTGCATGGAGGCGGCTCGCGGGAGGTGTGAGCCGGGGGCAGCCACTCCGGCGGGTGCCACCGCTGCCACAATTATTTTCTTCTCGTCTTTATCCTCCCGTCCCCAAGCTGTGACTCCAAAATTAGCAGGCAGCACTTGAGTGGTGTTTTAAATATGGTTTGCGCCGAGCTCATCAGTTTGTGGGGGAGGAGACAAAGGCACCGCAGTTCTCAGGAGCCCGGCTCCTCCCAGCACCTCCCGACCCCCCCACGGACTGAGGGGCAGAGAAGTGACCTGGTGGGCCGCTCCTGGGCACAGTGGGGAGACTGGACCCCTGCGAGGAAGGGGGTAAGGAGCCTGGAACCCGCAAAGGCGCCCACCTCTCCTCCACCCTCCATGCCTGCAGATGCCCCCTGGACGGTGCTCCTGGCCAGCGTGGACCCTGAGGCGACCTCGGTGATGGTCAAGGGCTTGGTTCCAGCACGCTCCTACCAGTTCCGCCTTTGTGCTGTGAATGACGTGGGGAAGGGCCAGTTCAGCAAGGACACGGAGAGGTGAGGGTGCAGACTGCTTCGGGGGCTCCGTGGCTCCAAGTGGGAGGGTGCCGAGAGGGACTGCGGCTGCCCCGATGAAGGTGGCCCCCCAGCAGAAACCAGCTGGCTGGCCCCCGAGTCCCAGGCTGCGGTCTCCACGTCTGTATGAGGGGTGACACCCCGAGGCTGGGGCGGCGCCTGGCACAGAATGCACACGGTCATCGCTCGGGCTGAGCTGCATGCTCAAACACCCACCTCCTCTGCTCTGGTCCCCACGGCTGCCGCGCTCGGAAATGGGCTTGAGACTCCGGAGAAAGCGAGACCTGTGGTCTCGACAGACAGGAGAGATTTGTGATGCCAGCCCAAAGCAGCTTCCAACATGCTTGCCTAACACGATGGCAACTGAATAAAAACAGCAGGTCATCCATTTCACACGTCACACAGGAACACCATGCAGGCAGGCAGCAGGCTGCAGCCCCCTTCCACCCCACACGTCTGGCAAGGGAAAGCCAGCGTGCAGGTCACACCGGGACAGTGACACGTGCCAGTGGGCATGCTTTGCTCTTTTTTATATTTATTTCATTTCCCAACTTTTTTGAGAATGTGTGAGTCTGAGGGGTGCAAGGTGTTAATTTGATACACTCTTGTTACAAAACGATCACCCCCACGGAGTTAGCAGAGAGCTCCTTCACGTCACATGTCACACAATCACCATTTCCTTCCTCTGGTGAGAATATCCAAGACTGACTCTTCTGAGGCTTCCAAGTACCGAATAGAGCAGGCAGAGCCACATGCAAAACCCCCAGAACTTGGTAATCTTAGAACTGGGAGTGTGTATCCTTGACCACAGGCTCCCAATTTCCCCCACCCATGGCTCCTGGGAACCGGTCCCTCCACTCCACTCTATTTCTCGAGTTCAGCTTTTTGAGATTCGCATAGAAGGGAAATCATAGTGTTTGTCTTTCTCCCATTTGCCATGAGGTCCAGTGTTGCAAAGGGCAGGGTTTCCTTTTTCATGGCTGAATAATACTCCGTTGCATACATATGTATATTGTATATATGCAATATACACATACCCATTTATATATCACAGTGTGTGTGTGCATGCCTGTTATTTTGATCCATTATCTCTTAATCTTGGCTAAACTGAATAATGCTGCAGCCACCAACAATGGATTTCAGAGACCTTTCAAGATCGTTTGAACGGTTTCAAAAGATTTTATTTCTTTTGGGTGTCTACCCATGAGCAAAATGACTGAAGCATACAGTTGCTCTATTTTTAATTTTTTGAGGAACCTGCATACTATTTTCCGTCACGGCTACACCATGTACATTCCCAACAAAAGCATGGAAGGGGCTGTTTTCTCAACATCTAGCCAACACTCAATACCTCTTGTCTTTTTGATGATGGCCATTCTCACCAGTATGATGTGACAGCTCATCATGATTTTGATTTGCCATTCCCTGGTGACTGCTCACTTGTCTGTTGGCCATTTCTGTCTCTTCTTTGATGAAACATCTATTCTGTGCCTATTTTTTAAAAGGACTGTTTGGGGTGGCGGGGCGGTTTGTTTGTTTGTGGGGTTTTTTTGTTTGTTTTTCTATTGAGTTGTAGGTGTTCTTTTATTTTTTGGGTGTTAATCCCTGATAAGATGTAGGCTATGCCAATATTTCTCACATTCCCTAAGCTGCCTTTTTACTTTGCTGATTATTTATTTTGTTGTGGAAAAGCAACAGTTTGATATTGTCTACTTGTTTTTAATCTGTTGCTTATGCTCTGGGTGTCACATCTAGAAAACTGCTGCAATCATCAATATCAAGGGACCTTTCCTTGTGATTTCTTTCAGGAGAGGTCTTCTGTTTATGTCTTTAATCCATTTTGAGTTCATTTTGTGAGTTCATTCTTCTGCATGTGCTTATCCAATTTTTCCAACACCTTTATTGAAGAAGAGACTACCTTCCCCACTAAGAAGAATGAAAGTGTTAAGTTGTCCCTAAGACCCAAAGCCACCTAAAAGGTCCCTGCAATACCCATCAAAATCCAAAGACATTTTTTCACAGAAGTTGAAAAAAAAAACTCAAAAATATATATGAGGCCACAAAGACCCACAAATGGCCAAAGAAATCCCTAGAAAGAACAAAGTCAGAGATATCACACTTTCTGGTTTCAAAATATATTGTGAGGATATAATAATCAAAACAGTATGGTACTGGCATAAGAATAGATGCAACGACCAAGGGAACAGAACAGAGACCCCATAAATAAAACCTCACTCATATAACCCATTAGTATTTCACTAGGGAGCCAAGAATGCTCATTTGAAGATCAATCAGGTATTTGCACAGACCCCAGCTTCCATCAATCTTGGTGACTTGGCCACACATCCCATAAACTTGAGTCTCCCTGTCTGTTACCAGGGGATGTTACAGACTCAGTGGCACTAAGGGAGAGATAAGAGAGCCACTACAGGAGAACCTCCCTTGCTATTTATTGAGCAGTTACTATGTACAGGCTATTTGGATCACTGGAGATAGTGGTGCAAATGGACACCTTGCTAATGAATCTCAGAATAATGACCCCAAGGCACAATAAACCACAGTTACTGTGGGTTTGACAAACTCCAGAATGTGCTGCACACTCTAGAAAGCTATCCATCAGAAAGCAAAAACACACAAGCAAACCAGAAGGGAAAGACATCCATCAAAAATAATTAACTGTTGTTTTTAATGGATGCATGTCAGTTATGTGAAAAATACACGAGGCAGACATTGTGCTCTCTTGCAATGCCAGAGAAAGGAATGCCAGACACTCAACGCGAGTTGACTGGGCAGCTGCACCTGCTCCCACACCCACATACCACACCCATCCCACCCAGACAGGGGCTCAGCTGGTCCCCGAAGGAGCCTAGTTAAAGTAGTAGGAGCAGGTGATTGCTTGACACTGCTTCTTCAAAGATACTTGGACAGAAGCAGTCCTAGCAGCACCTTCTTTGACAAATGAGGCACATGTCCCTGGCACAGACAATGCAGATATCTGGTACAGTATTTTTTTTTTAGATTTATTTATTTATTTAGACATACAGAACTGGGGTAGAGTCCAGAGGTGCAGGGGCACTGAGAGGCTTCACCAGAGACAGAGTGGGGAGCAGAACAGGCCGACTGACGAAGTCCACTGCTGAGGGGAGCAGCGGGCGGGTCAGGGGAGGTCTGCCGCGCCCTGTGGGTCACCTTCGGGGTGGGATCAAACTCGTGCTGAGGTGGCTTTAGCTTCTTAGTGCTGTGCTTTAACCTGCTGCCCACCAGGGAGGGCCCTTGACAGTTTTTTTAAAGAGCTGGTATAGACATTGTTCATTTGCGCCTCAATCATCAGGCAAGGGGAACTTCATTATACTTCCTTTGCAGATAAAGCAACAAACTCAGAGAGGTTAAGTGGCTTGCCCCAAAACACACAGCAACCGTGCAGTCATTCAGAGACAGAGCAGGCCAGGCTTCAGCCTCCTCGTATCCCATTAGACTCGAGCCCTCGCTCTTTCCTCTCCAGGGTCTCCCTCCCCGAGGAGCCCCCCACCGCCCCTCCGCAGAACGTCATTGCCAGTGGCCGGACCAACCAATCCATCATGATCCAGTGGCAGCCGCCTCCCGAGAGCCACCAGAATGGCCTCCTCAGGGGCTATATAATCCGGTAGGGGCAGCTCAGACGTGAGCGGATGGGGCTGGCTGGCGGGAGGCGGAAAGCAAGAGACGCACAGCCCTCTAAGGTGGGGGGCGGCGGGGTGGGGGGGGGCAAGCGATGCCTGCGCGTGGTGAAAGGACTTGGCCTTGACATCTAGCCTAGAGCTTCCAGCAGTGAGAACCTTGGGAGCTCGGGGCGCCTGAGAGAGGAGACGTGTGCAGTCGCCTCGTGGCTGGATGCAGCGCAGGCTGCGGGAGGCAGGGAGGGAGGTAACCTCGGTCACCAAGAGCTCACCGTCACAGGCAGACTTCCCTCAGGACGGGCCAGGAGTGGACCGGCCCCCTGGCGGAGGGCTGGTCCACACGCGAAAGTCCTTCTTTGGTCCTTATTGCAAAATCATGGGCGGTTCTGTAGACCTTGAAGTTGACTTCCGGCCGAGCGCGCTCCGCCGGAAAAGGGAGTCACCAGGTGCCACTAAAATTCGCTCTTCGTAAATCAAATGAATGTGTTATTTGAGGTTACTGGGGACGCGCCTCAGTATTCTGCGCCCTGGCTGGCCATGGGGAGCTTGGCGCCCCGCCTCGGGTCCCCGCTCTCGCTGGTGCCGGGACTCCCAAATCTGGGAAGAAGTGACAGTCTGGGTGCTCCAGTCTCAGTCCACCAGGAGGGCTTTGGCGACCCTAGAGGGCAGTGGCTCTCAAACTGTGGTCCCGGGGCCAGCAGTCACCTGGCAGGTTCTCCAGCCGACGCCGCGGGCCCAGGAGTCGGGTGGCATAAGCCCTGCGGGCGCTGGAGCTGCCCCCGAGGCTCTGGGAACCTCCAGGACAGGTGTAATGCAGCCAAATCACTTCCCCCCACCCCCATCTGCAATTTTCCAGTAATCTGAGTGTCGGGTAGATAGATCTGAACTGAGATCCACGTGCTCCAAATTTTGCCTTGACGGATCTTTATTTCAGGGCTGAATAATATCCACTGCGTACATGTGTATATTTAATAAAGCCCTTCTTTATCCCCACCTGGCTTCTTTTCCAGCAGGAGGTAGAAATGGGGGGAGCACACGGCTCAGTTTCTTCTCTCCACCTAAGCGAGTGACTGTCCAAAGAGCACCTTCCTCTAGAGGAAGAAAGGGAGCCCCAGCTCCAGACAGCTCTCCCTTGGGTGATGTCGGCAGCATTCTAGAAAGTTCTGTGGGCGGCTACGGGGCTAAGCAGGCCGACTGCCCACTGCAGCCTGACCCTCCCCCCTCAGGTACTGCCTGGCGGGGCTGCCCGTTGGGTACCAGTTCAAGAACATCACGGATGCAGACGTCAACAACCTTCTGCTGGAGGACCTCATCATCTGGACAAACTACGAGATCGAGGTTGCCGCCTACAACAGCGCCGGCCTGGGCGTCTACAGCAGCAAAGTCACCGAGTGGACGCTGCAGGGAGGTGGGTGGGGAGCGTGGTGCCCCTGGCGTGGCGAGCTGAGCCCGCCCCGTCCTGGCCGCCAACCCTCCCCTGCCATGCTACCTGTGGCCTCTAGGCTCAGACTCACACGCGTTGTGCCCAGCTGCCCCGTGGAGGGTGGGGCATAGGGTCCAGGGGTTCAGGGACCTGCTGCTGGAAGGATCCGGTTGACCTGAAGGGGCTTACCCTTGGCATCGAACCGAAAACTGCCCGAGCGTGCCATGTCCATCCCCCCTCGCCCCGTGAGGGCGCCAGGGAGGTTCATGAAAGCCAAGCTCATGCTGGACGGCGTCTCGGTTCTCCATGGCAAGGGGCTGGGGGTGGGGGGGGTCTGCATAACCCCCTCTGCCATTCTTCTACCTAAGTGGACAGACAGACGGCCACACCCCTCTGCCTGCCCTCACCCCGCCGTCTCTGCTCTCCTCAGTCCCCACCGTGCCTCCAGGCAACGTGCATGCAGAAGCCACCAACTCTACCACCATCCGCTTCACCTGGACCGCCCCCAGCCCCCAGTTCATCAACGGCATCAATCAAGGCTACAAGGCACGTGAGGCTCCTCTGAGATTCTCTGAGGGGGGCCTGGGGCAGGGAGGAGGCAAGGGAGGGGCTGGAGGGGGTCCAGCCTAGCTCTGAAATCATCCATCTGAGCCACCTGAGTCACGTGATCGGGCTGAGGGGGCTCCCCCACCCCTGCCACGTGCCCAGTGTGGGCCAGTGCCGGGACCGTCCTGGAGAGACGGGGCTTGTTTCAAGCTCAGTAGCACTAGGCACAGCTACGGCCCCTTCAGAAAGATCCAGAACCCCGTTACTGCCAAGCCCAGGCTCCAAGGGGACCCCGCGGCACCAGTGCCCGGGGCGCCCTTGCCGCGTGGGCCCAGGCACCGGCAGGCCTGGGTTACCGTGCCGGCTCTGTCTCGCGCTCGCTGGACAAGATCTGCGCTCTGCCCGGGCTTCTCCCCTCTGGTGGCCACTTGAGACCTACTGTGCGCTCCTGCAGCTGCTGGCGGCCAAAATGAACCCCGCTTCCTCCTCTCTCAGGGTTGGTGAAGATTAAATGAGGCGACATTTGCATTTTACGCGCACAGGGACAAGCACTCTCCTTGTGCTGAGCAACAGTAGTAACGGCTGTGACGGTGACAGTCACGGCAATGGCAGTGGGGCGAGCAGTGGTGTCGTAGTGGTGACAGAGACGGCGGTGACGGTGGTGACGGGCCTAGAGGTGTTGGTGATGGTGGCAACAGTGGTGGTGGTGACAGTAAACTTGCTACCGTGGCAACTGCTGTGCGTCAGGACTTCCCAGCCATTCTGTCCGAGATCCAGATCTGGGCCCCACCCTGGGCCTCCCCTCGCCCCGTGAGGAGCACTGTGCCAGCACCCCACAGAGTGCGCGGTCCCAAGCGTGTTTCAAGTTGGGGGCGGGGGGTCATGCCGTCAGCCCCTCCAGATGTGGGCACATCGGAGGGGCTCGCGTCAGGAAGCCAGCATGCAGGGGAGAGACCTGCAGGCTCTGGCTCTGAGCCCAGGTCTGGGGACCTTGCCGAGACCACCAGCCTTCCAGAAGGTTCCAGAAGGTACCCCTCTGCACTGAGTTTGCGATTGTACAGCCACTAAGATTCTCTGTCGAATGAGCAGCTGTGAGGGCCATTACTGCAAGCTGGAGTTGGCCGGACAGGAAGTGACTGAAATTAAACCACAGGAGGGTTTTCTGCCGGGGCTTTCGGAGAGGTGGTCCGAGCCGGACACTCGCCAGGCAGGCAGGGCCGCCCCACTTCCAGGGAGGAGGGGCCAGAGGCCTTCCCGGGCAGGCCGCTGTAGCTGAACCCTGGTTGCACTGGCTGACTGCAAAAGCCTGCTAATTGGGGCTCTGGGGGGCTCAGGAGCTGAGCTGGGAACAGTAAGCTGCTTGCAGTCAATTCTAAGTTTTCTTCCACGAGCTGTGAACTTCCACGGCAGCTGGCCACAGAGGGCCCAGAAGACAGCCCAGCGGCCAGAACACCCAGGGCAAGGACTCAGAGCGGGGGGAGGCTGCAGAAGCCCCCTGGCCCCCAGTCTTGGGGTACCCAGAACCCAGGAGGTGAGCGCGGATGAATCACCAGAGGCACCAAGACCAGGAGCTGGCGGAGGGCAAGGAGAGCTCACACCTCCAAGCCAGCTGTGGGCTTCACTTAGAGAAGCTCACACTTCCCGGCCAGCTGCACCCGGGAAAGTCATCATCGCCCCATTTTACAGAGGAAGACGCATGGCTCCAGAGACAAGAGACAGGTTCAGCCTCAGAGAAACCGCAGCCCGGGCTGAAGCTCGGCTCCTGCCTCTTTTCTTGCATTAAAAGGAAAATGCATCTCAAGTTCAATTGTCAAGAAAATAACCACGACTTGACGTTTACTGAGTGCACGTGCATGCAGCCGGAATTTTGTTCCTTGCTTCCTTGACCTTCGTGAGTCGCAGAGAGAAAAAGCAGTTTGACCTTCACATACCTTCTAACCTTAACCCCAGCCCTTCCCCCCTTTTTTCAATGATGAGACACATCAAACTTCGAAGAACAGAGCCAAGAGGGGTCCCCAGGGCACCAACCGCAGCTTCAGCGCTTACCAGCTCACAGCCGAGCCTGGCCCTCGACCCTCGGCCTCGCCCCTGGAATATTTCCAGACCAATTGCAGGCAGTGTATCATTTCGTGCATAAATATGTCTACAGAGAAATATTTGAGGGAAGGTCTCCGTTTCAAACGCAGTCACATAACCACATTATCATCATCGTGTCTAAAACGATCACCATTTCCTTGACTATCATCCATCACTGTGCACCCGGGCATGGTTCCTTTCACTAAGCGGTTTGTTTATTTGAGGACCCAAAGGGGGATCATGCCCTTGTTTATTTGAGGACCCAAAGGGCGATCATGGGGGGTGGGGGGCTCAGAGCTCACCTCGCTCGCTCGTTCACTCGCTCTTTTTTTTATAATTTGTTTAGTACAGAAACAGTCATTTGTCCTACAGAATTTTCTACAGTCCCGATCTGCTGATTGCATCTCCGTGGGGTCATTTAACACATTCCTCTGAACGCTGTATGTGCAGTAAATTGGAACTTAGCACTAGAGGTTGATCGCACTCAGGCTTGATGTAATTTATGTTTAAATATTCCTTCCCGGATGGTGGTGTGTATTCCCCTCTAAAGACATCGCATGTGGCTGTCACTTGCTGTGGGGTGGTGGCCTTTGATTTTGCTGTGTGCTGTGTTAGTCCCTCGGAGCTGCTCCATAGAGTCAGTTTTTAATTTCTTCTTGACTTTTGTTGAAAGGCTTCCAAAACATGCATTTACCCGTCACCAACTTTGTGTCTTCCCTCAGGTACAGTTCATCGTAGGAAACCACGACACACGTTCAGTGCCCTCCCATCAATTACCAATGTTCAGAATAATAATCAGTATTTTCCGCACAGGCGACAGTGGAGTCTAAACTGGGGGAGGCATCTTTTCGGGGTCACATTTTTACAGGCTTAAGAACTTTGCCCACATCTGCTATGTTTCCACCCCTGATGTCATTATTTGTCTCGATGCCAACTCGACCCATTGCTGGCGACTTCCGCTCAAGCCACGGGTCTTTCTGGACGTGGCCCCAGTTGCTGTGGTGACTTTCTTGCTTCTGGCGCAATGAGCTGCTCGAAACTATGCTCTTCTGGCGGTGTCTTCAAGGAAGCTTGGTCCCTACATGGGAAGTGAGAATTAGATGCCACAATCTGGGCACTGGGTGTTCCTTGTTTCGAGCGGTGGTTATGTCTGCACCCTATTCATGGACCGCTAGGAAACCCTTTTTTGAAAAATATAAAACACATGCCAAAAAGTCCCATTCAATCAAAGACTACAATTTTTTTTAAGATTTATTTTTACTTATGCATATACAGGGGTGGTCAGAGAATCCCCCAGAGACAGAGAGGGGAGCAGCACAGGCAGATGGACAAGGTACACTGCTGAGGGAGCAGCGGGCGGGTCAGGAGAGGTCTGCCGCGCCCTGTGGATCACCTCCGGGGCCGGGGATCGAACTCATGCTGAAGTGGCAGTGGCCAGCTTGCAGTGCTGCATCCTAACCCATTGTGCACCGGGGGCCCCAAAACTGCAGTGGCTGCAGATTCCCTGAGCTCCGCTGTGGGGTGGCGCCCTCGGGCCTGTCCCTCAGGTGACTGTGCTGCAGACCTGGGAAGTCGTTTCTCCCTCTCACTGTGCCATACACTGCTAGGTTCACTTGTTTCATTTTCGTTTCCATTTTTAGCGATTGATTTTTTAAAATCTAATTCTGTCCTATAATTATGCACAGGCTTCCAAAGTTCAATCTACAAACCAAAGTAAATTCAGAGGAAATCAGCCTGCGGTCTGCCCCTCCCCGCCCCCACCCACTGTCTCGTGAGTTTCCCTTCCACCCCTTTAACCCCAGCGCCACCCGCATCCAGCGTATTCTCTCCTGCGGCAAACAGCCGTGTCCCTGCGTGCTTTCTCCACCTGGCTTGGTTATCTGCTCCTCATCCTGGAGGTCCACACCACAGCGTGGACAGAGACACCCCTGCCCCTTCCCTCACCCTGCAGCTGGTCCCGCGTGACTCCCCCATGGTTCTGTCACCCAGCTCCCCGGAGGTAACGCTGGGGCTGCAGTGCAGCGTTTATGCAGCCAATTGCTTTGTGCCAACGTCCTCTCGTGCTTTCACGTATAATTTTGGACTTGATCCTTAGACACGAGGTAGCCGAGTCAAAGGGTAAATGTGTGGATAATTTCACTGTCATTGCCAGCATCTCCCTTGATGTTGCCTGGTTTAGTTTTCTAAACAGGAAATACATTTACAGGCGTCAAGCACCAGCCGGTGTAAAGAGCTAAACACATAACAGAAACCGCCCTCCCACCCCAGAACCCACATCTACCGGCATCTATCTCCCCAACCCTGAAACGCTCCCCACTCCGGGTAACCACTGTGGTTAACTTCTTACATGTCCTTCCTGAGGTTTTCTGGAAATCCATGCAAATGCAAAGAGAGAGAGAGAGAGAGAGCGCTAGAGCAGCAAAAGCAAGGAGAATTTCCACTACTTTAATCCCAGGAGCTTGCAAGCCAGACATGCCACCCTGTACCCCCACTCTGTCACGCACGCTCCCCCAGAAACAGGAGGCATATCCCCTCAGCCCTTCTCCCGTCAGGCTCCAGGAGGCTGTTACGGGCCTCTGAGGCTCAGAGAGGTCGAGTGACTTTCCCAGGGTCACCCAGTGTGTGACAGAGCCTGACTCCAAGTCAGAGTTGCTGAGTCCCAGGAGCCGGTCTGATGCCCCTGACCCGGCACACACACACCTGCCCACAGAGCCGCCCTGTCGGCGCCCACCCCCACCCACCCGCGTAAGTCAACACTGACCCTGACTAACAAGAGCAGCACGGAGACAGCAGAGAGGTGCCCTGACGCTCACCCAGTGGCTGGACGCCTTCAGGGGGCAGAGGTCAGCCGAGCCGGCTCTCAGCGACCCGCGTGCAAGTCACTCAACCACCCGAACCTCAGTTTCCCTTTTCGTAACAGCAGGGGACAGCGGTTCCCATCTAATCCTCACCGTGCTGAGGCAGTGGGCCCGTCCAGGGCGCACGTGGCCCAGGGCCAGAGGCAGGAGAAGCTGCCCAGGCGCGGCCCTGTGGCCTGCACCCCTGCACACAGAGGCCACCCCACGGCCAGCCGGCCCGCCTCCTTCCAGGCCCCGGAAGCGACACAAGGCCACTCTGCTGTCTCCTTGGCCTAAAGGAGAGGCTTTCGCTCAACGCCTCCTCTTCAGGTGCAGCTAGAGAAGGACAGGGCCTCCCGACCCAGAGCAAAGATTCCGGGGCGCACTGCACGGCCGCCATCTTGGTTTGCGTGAGGCCGAGGCCTTGGACTCCGGCAACCTTAGGCGTCCTTGACAGTCCGCAGAACTGCTCTTCTGGGTTCGTTCTGAAGAAACTTCCCCGTTTCTTCCGGCACCTGTAAGGATTTTTTTTCCTTCATTCTTATAAAAAAATGGAGGTGATTATAATTGGCCTAAGCCCAATAAAATATTTACCCAGATATTGCACTTGCCAGGGAACATACCACACAATTAATTCTAATGGTGTAATTAATTCAAATTTACATTAATTAAATTAAATTAAAACATTAAACTTGTTTCTTAATCTACTCCGAAGAAGTTCAGCAATTTAATTGCTATGAAACAAGATAACTGAAATAAGGAGGATATTTAACATAATTATTAAATGCCACTTAGTATTTCTGATGAGTATTTTTAGGGTCTAATTAGTGTCTAATTAACTTGCTATAGGCTATCTTTTCACAATACCCATTAAATTTCCAAACATCCTTTATAAACACACGGCCACAGAAAAGAGAAGATTAAGCATTGTTATAGGCGTGAGTTAATCAGGAGACATCAGTGTGGTGTTGTTTTATATCTATAAATACCCGTGCTTATTAAAACCCATCAAGTGTTGCTTTTCACCATTAATTGCTATTTAATCAACTTCAAATAAATGAGGGAATCTCTGAGACCAGCTGTCATTGTTGGAGACAGATGAACAGCCCAGAAAAAGGGGTGTCGGAGAGAGCAGGAGGAGGGGCGAGGGGAGGCCGGCAGCACACGCAGTTGGGGGTGACGTGTGTCTGGGGGACTCTGACTGGACGAGGCTGGGTTCCGACCTGGTTTCCTGACCGACGCCGCTCCTAGAGATGAGGTTTAAGACCAAAATCCCAACTTGGAACAAGTTTCAAACACTAGTGCAGCCGATCCTGGCAAAGTGCGAACTGTGAAGCTGACCCAGCTCAAAAGCCTCCTTTGGGGGTCCTGCTGGGAGCTGGCGGAGAGGTGACCAGGCAGAGCCCTAGCTTGGTCAGCTGCTCAGAGGCCAGACAGACACACCAGCATGGATTCCCAGAGCGTAGCCGGTCCGGTGGCCTTGGGGCATCTGCTCGGCCGCCCCTGTGGTGGGAGGGAGGTGCCCAGGCTCCTGGGCTCCTGGACACTATCTGTGCTTTGGCCTGGCCAGGGAGAGTGCCTGGCCACTTCTGGAACATTCTTGCTGCCCTGCCTGAATGCCTGGCCTCTCCCTAGCTGATTGCCTGGGAGCCGAAGCAGGAAGAGGAGGTTACCATGGTGACCGCCAGGCCCAACTTCCAAGACAGCATCCACGTGGGCTTCGTGTCCGGGCTGAAGAAGTTCACTGAGTACTTCACCTCGGTGCTGTGCTTCACCACGCCCGGAGACGGGCCCCGCAGCACCCCCCAGCTGGTGCGCACCCATGAGGACGGTAGGCACCCCGCTCGCGCTCCCTGTGCCCCCACTCCCCCTGCCAGAGGGGCCCACTGGGTGCCGCAGACCCTGGGAGGTCCCGGTCTCGCCTGGGAATCCTGGGGCACCCTGAAACGCCACAGGCCGACGTGCCAGACAGTACCCCTCCCTGGCTCTAACTGGCACTGGGTGGGTGCAGTGCCTGGGCCAGTGGGACATCTGAGCTTCAGTGAAATCCTGGACACGTCGCTGAAGGTCAGCTGGCAGGAACCGGGAGAGAAGAACGGCGTCCTCACAGGTAGGCCCGACGGGAGGGAACGGGACGGGAGCGGGAAGGTCTTCCTCCTGCCCGTACCCCGATGCCCCCTGCTCCGGGGAGATCCCCCACCAGCCCCGTTCCGTGGGTGTGGCCCGCTGTCCCCCCTGCAGTCCACCCGGGGGGGCGTCCACCCCAGTTTCCCTGGGGCCCCAGCGCATGGCTCCCCCCACCCTCGGCCACATGGCCCCCACTGCAGCCGGGGAAGTGCCACGCAGAGCGGAAGAGCCACACTGCTGGCCACAGCCCAGCTCATGCCACCCGGGGGCTCTCCCCAGGGTACCGGATCTCCCTCGAGGAGTACAACCGAACCAACACCCGCGTGACCCACTACCTGCCCAACGGGACCCTGGAGTACCGCGTCACGGGCCTGACGGCGCTCACCACCTACACCATCGAGGTGGCCGCCATGACCACCAAGGGCCAGGGCCAGGTGTCTGCCTCCACTATCTCCTCGGGGGTGCCTCCAGGTAGGTGCCCGCCGCGGGCAGGGCTCCTGGCCCCTGGGATCCTCCCGGCCAGCGTCCCGTCCCGGGGGCCCCTCCTCTGGCGGGAGCGCCGGCCGGCTCCCCTCCTTGAGGCTGAGGCCCCCCAGCCTCCCCGACAAGGCTTCCTTCTTTGATTCCTCTGCGGTCTCTGTGTTTCCGCCTGTGTCTCCTGGGAAGCGAAGGCCCAGAGGAACCTCCCGGCCTCGGTCACCCCGTGCCCCGCCCCTCCCCCACCAGATTTCCCCTTGGGTGACTCAGGGCAGAAGTCGCAATTCCTGTCGGTCGCGATGGGACCCACACAGGAGGAGGAAGCCCAGGCCTGGCACAGACAGCAGCTCTGTGCTGCCGGGCTCCACCACCGTGAGCTAGTCGAGTCCCTCCGTGCCTCAGTTTCCCCATCTGTATCTATGGAGGGAGATGGACTGAACAGCCACAGGCCCGGGCTGGGTCCAGATGGATGCTGTGTGGCCTGGCCAGGGTCCTCTAGCTTGGCCACGTGATGACGGGGGCCCCCAAACCGTGGTCACCCCAATGTGTTAACACAGCGACCCGGACTAACCTGAGCCACTTCTCACGTTCGGAGCTAAGTGCTCTATTTATATCAATTCACTCGGTTCTCACAGCAACCCTGAGGCAGGTGATGTTATTATCATCGCCATGTTCTGGCGGGCCCTGGGCACAGAAAGGTGAGGCAACTTGCCCAAGGACACACAGCACGGAAGCAGAAGAGTTGGGTTCCAGCTCAGAGGATCTGACTCGGCGTCTGTGTGCCTTCTGTTTATCCTGAGCCCCACAGCTCCTGGGCGAAAAACAGGAGCTGCCTCCTGCACTGCCCCCCCGCTCGCCCCACATCTCCCTCAGCCACGGGGGGTTCAGGGAGGTTGTGGTGAACAGGGGTGTGGATGGAGAAGACGCATAGGTTTGAGTCTTGCTGAGCCCAGCTGATGCTCTTGCAGCCTCAAGCCCCCTCATGAGCCACACAAAGACACCCCAACTCCAGGAGCGGAAGCCCCGCTGTGCCAGCCCTGACTCCCAGTCCTGGGAGCTCCTCATGGCCCCCAATTCTGCTGCAGACCCCTGGTGTGAACGCGAGGAGCCACTGATACAGGATCGGACTCTGCAGGGGGGCTGCTCCTCGGAGGTCTCCAGGGACAGTGTGGCCCCCCGCCACCCCCAGGCCGAGAAAGTCCTAGTTGAGGGAGGGGATGTGGGCTTCACCCCATCTTTTTGTTTCCCCTTCCAGAACTCCCAGGGGCCCCCTCCAACTTGGGCATTTCCAACATCGGCCCCCGCTCCGTGACCTTACAGTTCAGGCCGGGCTACGACGGCAAAACCTCCATCTCCCGCTGGCTGGTGGAGGCCCAGGTAACCCCGGGGTGGGGGGCACAGCCCCTTGGCGTGGGCGTGCCCTTGGGCACGAAGCACACACGCATGTACCCGTCAGGTGGCACATGCACCCGGAATGCCCACTGCTTCCAACTGCCTCGGCCTCACCGCACACCTGCACACGTGTGCGGGCACACCTAGCTGGCCTAGAAGGACCAGCCGCTGCCTGCGTTCTCGGCTGTGACTCCACGCAGGGAGGGGGTGGAGGTGGGAGACATTCGGAAGTTCTAGCGCCAGCCCCAGAAACTCTGCTTCCGAGTTAGCTGGTTTCCAGAACACGCCAAGGTGCTTGGGAGAATCCCCTGGGAGCTTAGTGAACACCAGGCACACGGGACCCTGGAGGGCTAGTGCAGTCACGTGGGCCAGGAGGCAGTTCATACAAGCACACCTTGAGATTCTGACTCAGGAGAATGGGGGTCACACTTGGAGCCCCGATAAGAGCCCGCAAAGTTGCTTGGCCCCAGGTGTGCCCTCCAGGTGACCGCTGGGGTTTGGACCGAGACCATCCCTGGGCAGGGCTCTGACCTCGTGGGACTCAGGGCTCAGAGCACCCCCATCTCAGCCCTGCAGACTGGCTCAGCCCCTCTCTTTCCAGGTGGGCGTGGTCGGGGAGGGCGAGGAATGGCTGCTGATTCACCAGCTCCCCAACGAGCCAGACGCCCGCTCCATGGAGGTGCCCGGCCTCAACCCCTTCACCTACTACAGGTAACAGGCAGGTCTAAGGCAGGCAGGTGGGCTGGGCTTTGGCCCTGTGTCCTGCCCTGACGCCCACACACCTCCCTCCAGCTTCCGCATGCGCCAGGTGAATATTGTGGGCACCAGCCCCCCCAGCCAGCCTTCCAGAAAGATCCAGACCCTCCAGGCGCCCCCTGACATGGCCCCGGCCAACGTGACCCTGCGTACAGCCAGTGAGACCAGCCTGTGGCTCCGCTGGATGGTGAGTGACCCTGGGAGGGAAAAACGGGGTTGGGGGGGGATGAGGGGCCATCGCTTGGCCCCTCATCCCCTGACCATGTCGTTGCCTCCAGGGGGCTATCACCAGGGGGCGCCCATTAGAATACCTGGGCCCCCTTCTCTCTCTCCCCAGCACCTCAGGGTGCCCCACAATCAGTCTCTGTTCCAGGAACAAATGTTCCCTGGGAGGCAGAGTTAGAAACATTTTACCTTATTTTCTTCACTTGATCCTCCTGTTTTCCTGCAAAGGACTCAAGGAGACCCAAGTTCAGAGAGGTTAGGAACTTGCCAGGGGCCACACAGCTCCCAAGGGCAGGTGTGAGCTCAGCTCTGAGCCACTCCACACAGCACGTCAGGGTGCAGGAGATGCTCCAGCGTGAGGGAGGGGAGAGGAGCGCTCAGACCGTCCCTCCCCCGCCATCAGGACCGTTGCCCCTGGCGCTCTGTACCTGTTCCAGACAGTGATGCTAAGGTGCCGAGGCTCGCCTCCCCCAGGCACCGTCCTGGGCGCTTTGTGCATAGTTGACCTTGAGCTTCTGGGTCCTCGTTTTGCAGCAGGGAGGCAGAGAGCCATCCAGTGACTGTCCCGCGTCTCCCACGCCCTACACCCCTCGTTAGCAGCAGGGCGGGGATTCCCACCCCGAGCAGCTGGCCCCAGAGTCCACTGCTCTAACCACTGTCCTCACTGCTGAACCTTCCCGGGTGCAGAGGGCCTGCCCCCCGGGCTGTCCCCGGGACAGAGCCCCCAGGTGGCCATCCCAGGTGCTGGGAGCCAGGCTCCCGAGACAGGTCGGTCTGGGGGGCGGCGCTCACACCCTGTCCTTGGAGAGCCAGCACACGGCCTCAGGAGGCTGCTCCGCGCTAACCGCTTCCCAGCCCCTCTGGCCCACAGCTCTGAGCTAGAGGCTCACAAAGAACCTTCACTAGTGCACGAGACCCAGCCTGCAATCGCGCACTCAGGTCTGCAGCTCTCGGCCGCCCATCCGGCTGTGGTCTCGGGCCAGCTTCACTGTCTCAGCAGGGCTGGGAGCCCTGAGCAGGTCGGGATGGGACAGAAGGGGGCCGGAAGGCGGTGGCCTGGGGCCGTCAGCTATTGGAGCCCCTGGGGAAGCACAGCCCACGGGCAGGACCGAGGTGCTGGTCCCGCTTTCCAGGGGAGACTCGGGTAGGTGAGGACCGTGGGCTCCCCAGCTCCAGCTCTGCCACCTTCAGAGGACAGTGTGAAGCCTGGGCCCTCGGTCACACCTGCTTCAGGTCGCAGGCCCCACCCCAGGGTGTCCACACTGCACTGCCTTTCAGTACTGCCCAAGTTCACCCGGATGACCTTGAGCCAGCGAGCCCCACCCCCAGACTAGTCACTGGGGCTTCAGGGAGAAATCCATCTTCCTCCTCCTGAGACTCAAACCAGGAGGCTGTCAGTGCTGCAGGAGGACCTGAAGCTGCCAGGGAGGCGGGGGGGGGGGGGGGGGTACTGCCCGTGACAGGTGCCCCGCATGGGGGCGCCACTCCCTGCTTGCGTTTTCTCCAAGGGCAGGCGTGAGCCCTGGAAGGCATATAACAGGCTCTTAAACAAATGCACACTGGCAGCCCAAGCTGGGGGTAACGTGGCGGAGACAGCCAGAGCGTAAGGTGCATGCTCATGTGTGTTAGACAGTCAGCTTTGTGGGGCTCCTCACCAGGTCCCCCGCCCCTGGCAGGGTGATAAGTTCACCACCCCGGGAGGAAAGAGGCTCCCATGGTCACAGACAGGTTGGACGAGTGTTAAGAAATCCCCGAGGGCTCCCTGGAAGAGGGGGCACCAGCCAGGCAGTTCCACCATCCACAGGGCGGCCCTGGCCTCACAGCAGCTTTGCTGGCCCTGCCTTCATGCAGCCTCTCCCAGAGACGGAATACAACGGGAACCCCGAGTCGGTGGGCTACAAGATCAAATACAGCAGGGCAGACGGCCACGGCAAGACACTGAGCCACGTGGTCCAGGACCGTGTGGAGCGAGAGTACACCATCGAGGACCTGGAGGAGTGGACGGAGTACCGCGTCCAGCTGCAGGCCTTCAATGCCATCGGGAGCGGGCCCTGGAGCCCCACGGTGATGGGCAGGACCCGGGAGTCAGGTATAGCCCAGGTGACTTCGCGCCCCCACGGCTAGGGTCCAGCCCCCTCTGCCCCGGGACACAGAGGCTGGAGCTGTTGTTCAGAGTCGCCTGGCTCGTGTCTGTGCCCTGTCGGCGCATCTCCCAGCACCTGGGTCTGTTCCGCAGCTGTTCCCACAGCTCCCCAAGTCAGAGTCCCGCCCCCGCGGGGTGGCTGGGCCATCTCCCCGCTGCAAACTTCCCAGCCCTGTACCCTGATACCCACTGGTGACTGCAAGAGCCTGAGACAAGGAGGTTGGGTTAGCTGTCAGAACATTCTAGAATCACAACCAACAGCAACAGGCGCCTGGCAAGGGGTCACCCCCAGAATATGAGCAGTATGTGTGCACCCGCTGTGGTCCATGTGAGCTCTGTGGCTCTTTTCCTGGCACCTTTCAAATGGGGCGCTGCTCCCCAGCACTCCTGCTGCCCCAGCAGGACACTTGGCTCGTCCAAGGTCAGCCTGAGCAGCAGGTGATGAGACTACCTGAAACCGGAAGCAGCACCTGTGGCACTCCAGAGCCAGGCGGAAACACCTGGGGGCGTGCCACGTCTGCTCCCCGCCCCGGGGCCTGGCGCCCCTCAGTCCCCAGGTCCTGCCGCTCCTTCCACGGCAGGTGGCCGCTGGGTCTTGAGTCCCCCCCTTCCCCTGCCTCCCGCAGTCCCGTCCTCTGGCCCCACCAACGTGTCTGCGCTGGCCACCACCTCCAGCAGCATGCTGGTGCGCTGGAGCGAGGTCCCGGAGGCCGACCGCAACGGGCTGGTGCTGGGCTACAAGGTGAGTCCGCGCCGAGCGGGGAGGGGCGGGGCCCGCCGGCGCTCAGGCCTCCCCAGCAGAGCTGCCCTGCCAGGACAGCCGGGCGCAGGTCTCTGCCTTCCGGACAGGACACGGGGCCGTGGGCCCAGCCTCAGGTCCGCCCTCTCCCAGAGCCGCTCCTGAACCCACACTGAGCCCTGCAGGGAGTCAGCGGAGGCGGCTCGGCCTCTGGCCCTGCCACGACCGCCCCTTCTCCCACGGGGCTGTCTCAGGAAGCGTCGGCCCTGAGGCTAAGTGCGTCTGTGTCCCAGCCCTCCGGAGCGCTAGCTTCGCGCTCAGCCCCGCCGAGGACCCCATGTCTGCCCCCACGCCCCCAGCACTCAGAGAGGCTTAGGGAGGTGCTGGCTGGCCCGCCCCAGGCCCTAAGCCCTCAGCCCCCTGCCGGGCTCTGCAGGTCATCTACAAGGAGAAGGACTCGGACTCCCAGCCCCGGTTCTGGCTGGTGGAGGGGAACTCGTCACGCAGCGCCCAGCTCACGGGCCTGGGCAAGTACGTGCTCTACGAGGTCCAGGTGCTGGCCTTCACGCGCATCGGGGACGGCAGCCCCAGCCACCCCCCCATCCTGGAGCGGACGCTGGATGACGGTGAGCTGGAGCCCCTGCAGTCCTGGGGTGCCGGGCGGGCTCCCCTTCCCTGGCCCCTCCCCAGGGCCGCACCTGCCCCAGAGGGACCCGAGGCCCCCGGCTTCTCCCGGGGGAGGTGTGTCACGGAGGGCCACTAATACCCTGCAGCCGGGAGGGGGCGAACTGCAGACTGGGGCCCAGAAGGCAGCAGTGGACACACGTGGGCCGTGGGCACCCGACTCGCTTGGCCTCTTGCTCGAGGTGCCTCCGGGACAAGTGTCACGAGAGAAATTTTGCATCGACTTGCTTTCTCTTTCTCCTGGAGCACCTCTTTGAGCAAAGGTCTGTCCTGTGCAAGGGAAAGGCTTGCTTTCTGCTGGCCGCCTGGTCCGGCGGCAAAGTCCTGACTCCTTGGAGGTCCCCCCTCTGCAGCTGAACTCCCCGTCAAAGGCTGACTGAGGGGCCCTCTGCCCCGCCCCCTCCACACACACTGCCCACACCACAAGACGGGGACCGGGGCGGAAAGGAAGCCCACCCCACACCCCTTATGTCTGCACACTCTCGGGTTATCAGTCAAGCTAATGACCTGCCCCATTAGATATGCTCCAGCCTCCTGCCTTGACAGATACACCCTCGTGATGACTTGGAAGGCCAAGTTCAAGTTCAGAAGTCCCAGCCTACTGGGCTGTCTTTGCTGGACTAAGCCACCCAGGAAGAATTGCCCCCTGCAGCCTTCACCCCGTGTTCCCTCCCAGCCCCCCTCCGCCTGTGCCATCAGTCTCCATCCTCGTGGCCAAGCCCTGCTAGCGTGCGTGGGGCTGTTGGGCAGGGAAAGCCGGGTCCCGGGATTCGAGGCCTCGCCCAGAGAGAGGCCGTAGGCTCCAGACGGGCACTTCCTCTACAGCTGCCCGGGGCCACCTCGCCCAGAGGGTCCCCCCCGCCACCTCGCCCAGAGGGTCCCCCCCCCGCCACCTCGCCCAGAGGGTCCCTTCTAGGCTCAGCCCTCGGCCTCATCGGGGCCTACATGGGCATATGCAGCCTCCTGTGCACAGTCACTGAGCTAAAGGAGGCTGGTACCTGGCCTGCCAGTTCCTGCCAGGGTGCCTACTTGTGTTTGGGGGTGGGGAGCTCATAACCCCACCGGTGGCATCCTCTTGTCCACTGCCGGGACCCGGTGCCAAGCAATGGCATCTGCTGGCACTGGCCCGGCTTGGGGCTGAGCTTGGCATGTCACCTGGCTCTCCTCTGTCCCTTCCAGTCCCAGGACCACCCATGGGCATCCTGTTCCCAGAGGTGAGGACCACATCAGTGCGGCTCATCTGGCAGCCCCCTGCTGCGCCCAATGGCATCATCCTTGGTAAGCGGCTACCCGTCCCCGGCCCCTGGCCGCAGGAGAGGAGCAGGCATAAGGTGCAGAGGGGGCATCCTGGGGGGCAGCGAGAGGGAGGCTAAGCTGGGGTGTGTCTGTAGCTCCTCAAGAACAGCTCTGAGTCTCCCTTCTCGGGCTAGAGATCGCAGTCTGTACAATAACTGGCTGAGGGCAGGGGCAGGGCTCCAGGCGGCCCTGGGCCCTCACACGGGCGGGCGGCTGGTAAACCGCAGCTGCTGTTCCTAAGCGTGGCCAGGCGAGGGCGCACTGGCCAGCTCAGCACTGCGCTCTCAGTGGGAAGGGGACTGATGGGGGGGGTGCTCGGACCAGAGGGGTCTTTTCATGTTCACAACACACACACGCTCCCCACGCACGCACACACGCACCTCACACGTGTGCACACTCATACACGCCTCGCGTGTGCACGCACACCCCACACGCACACCCCACGGGCACACATATATGTGTGTATGTGCCCCGCACATGCACTGGCGTGTGTGGGCACACACCAGATCACGGGCTGCAGTCACCAGCTAGCGGGCCCTCTGTGGCCGCAGCTTCCTCACCTGTAAAACGGGGCTCTGGGCTGCCCGGGCCTGGCCCAGGGCACGCTGTCCTGGCATCGGCACGCCTGCCCCAGTGGAGCGCCCGGCCGGAGTCCCAGTCAGGCCCTTCCCAGCAGGCGGTCTGCCTTCTGAGCCCCACTTGGCTCGCCTGGGGCTGTTTGGGGGTCACTCCCCACAGCCACAGTCCCCAAGCGGCAGCAGAGGGTGTGAGAGTGACCAAGGGGACTTGAGCCACACCGGGGGGCCCCGGGCGGGCATCAGGGTGCCCCAGGAAGGAACAGCTCTTTGCGGGTGCCCCCAGCACGGCGTGTGCCCCTCCCACAGCGTACCAGGTCACGCACCGGCTCAACGCCACCACGGCCAGCACCGCCACGGTGGAGGTGCTCGCGCCCAGCGCCCGCCAGTTCACGGCCACCGGCCTCAAGCCCGAGTCTGTGTACCTGTTCCGCATCACGGCCCAGACCCGCAAGGGCTGGGGGGAGGCGGCCGAGGCCTTGGTGGTGACCACCGAGAAGAGAGGTGACTGCCGCTGGGGCTGGGGGGGTGCTGGGCCCACAAACGGGACACCCCAGCCGAGCCGAGCGCTCAGGTCCTGCCCGGTGGAACGGGGTCGCTGGCTGAGTCCCCCAGCCTGGTCTGAAACTGGGCTCCAGCGTCAGACGTCGAGGTCGGGGGGCTGGGCGTTCCTGCCTGCCTCGGCTGACGGTCTTCTCAAGGGCAGGTTGGCGAGACCAGCTTGCTCCCTTCTCCCCTGACCCTCAGCATGTCTGGTTGGATGAGGACAGGGCTGAGGCCCAGGCCCCTGGCTGCCTTTGCCAATGTTGGGGTTCCCCAGAGGCAGACCTGAGACCTAGATCCCTGCGCATGTGATTTATAAGACGTGCCCAGGACAGCCAGAGGGGCTGAGGGTCTCAAGCGGGGGCTGCCTTGTCCCCCAAGGGACACTCGGCAATGGCTGGACATTCTGGTGGCCACAGCCAAGAGGGAGGTGGATATGGCATCCAGGGGGACAGACGGGGACAGACAGTGCACAGAACCGGCCCTAACAGAATCCTCCTCCACCCCAGTGCCAGTGCTGAGGGGCTGAGAGCCCCTGCACTGGGCTGTGGGGCGGTGGAAGGAAGCCGGGTCTGGGTGGGGCCCACAGAGGCCACATGGGCCCAGCCCCCCAGCGGGAATAGCCTGGGTACCGCTCAGCTCTGGGGCAGGCTGGGCCACAGGTCAGGGTGCTCGCAGTCAGCGCAGGCCAGGGCACCCCAGGACAGGTCAGCTCCCCGACGCGGGGAGCTGCAGTGCGACCCGACCCGTGAGCATGGGAGTGGGGTGAGGCGGTGGCAGGGAGCGAGCGGGGACCCGGCCTGAGCCCAGGGTCATCCTGGCTTGGGGAGGGCCCCACCTCCACCACAGCTTGCCAGCCCCATGCCCCCGCCGCCCCCAGACCGCCCGCAGCCCCCCAGCAAGCCCGTGGCCCAGCAGGAGGACGTGAAGGCCCGCAGCGTGCTGCTGGCCTGGGAGCCGGGCAGCGACGGGCTGTCCCCCGTGCGCTACTACACCGTCCAGACCCGCGAGCTGCCCGGCGGCCGCTGGGCCCTGCACTCGGCCTCGGTCAGCCACAACGCCTCTGCTTTCGTCGTGGACAGGTGAGCCCCAGGCTCCACACACGAGCCGGGGGCCCCGGGAGGGCCCCTGAGGTGGCCCCGGGGAGCTCCCGGAACCGATCACCCCAAATCGCTCTCAGCTCCCATCCACACTGGGCCCCTCCGGCTGGGCCCCCGCTCCGCTCTCTCTCCCCTGGAGCCACTAGGGCTGCTCCTTAGTTCTCTCTCTCGGAGGAGCCGGGCGGGCGCCCCCACCCGCGCCCCCACCCTCAGGAGCA